TCTTGGAACTGATGGCCGTTGCATTAATCTCTTTTATGACTTTTTATTTTCAGTTTTTGCCACAAGCACAAAAAGTAAAAACGTGGATGTTTCCTGAAGATCCTTTTTCCATCAACTACTGAAGTTCTGTTAATGTTTCTACCGGGAGATATTTTCAAAAAGAGCCGCATTAAACCAATAGGTCAACGTGTACATTTATTTTGCATCGTCTAAAATTTCATCAGCTTTTGTTTCCATTAGTTGGGATATGAGCGAAATTATTAAAAAAATTGAAAGTCCGGTTATAGTCTTTACATAATTTATGTATGCATCACCACTCATAAAAGAAACAATGGATAATTCATTTATGTCGAAATCAACAATCAACGCCCTTTTTGCAGCAACGTATAACTTATAACTAGTTACAGACAGAAACTGTTTAATTTTATTTGGCATCATTACCTGTCAAACCTCAAAGTTACAAAATTTGAAATTCAATCCAGTGTTTCAGGATAGAACAGGAATTCTAAATATCGATATAACGACAATCTCGGTTACATCAAAGTATTACAATGTTTTCTTTTTTCAATTTCATTTTTTTAACAAACATCTCTTTGCATTTACTTTTATAGACTTATCGTCAAATATGTAATATGCACTTTTTCTATAGCAATTACCAAACAGTGTTTTCCTACCTTATTTCAATCATTCTTTTTGTGACCTGACGGAAGCACGCAGAGGATTTAATTCTTAATGTGGGAGGAAGCGGGAGTATCCGGAGAAAACCCGCGTGGTCGGGCTGGTTACCGGGATTGAATCCGGCCATCTCTGTGAAGACGAGCGCGCTATCCACTGCGCAACCCGACCCATCATTACGCACAAGAACAAATATCTGCTTTAGCTTTGAAAATGGTGTCATTGATGCAAAAATTATATTGTGAATACATTTTTACCAATCATCAACGATACAAAAAATCTATATACGGGAGACCGGGGCAAGTGCGGCCACCCCTATTTTTGTTTTTGAGCCAATATTTACAACTTTAAAGATCTTAGCAGTTTAGTTGGCTGGGCATTCACACGAAAAAATGGCAAGGGAAACTCTAATGTAAAATTACTAAACAGGACAAAATTACTTTTGAGAAAGAAAATCATAATCTCGCTTCTAGTTATGTGAACTTTCTCTATTTTTTTAACGGTCAAACGTGTAACACACTGACAGCTTCAAATGATATACATGTACATAAAAGCAAAGCCAAGCACTCACTACCATATTCCTGTACGATAAGAATTTATTGAAATACCAATTTGGGCCCGGACAGTTTCAGCCAATGATACCGTGGCAAGTTCGGCCCATGTAACACAAAAATAGTCGTAAAGTTGGCGGTAAAATCTGACGTTGCATGCTTTATAACGTCATAATTAAGCTGATTCCAATGGGGCCGAACTTATCCCATTGCGGGCCTCGTTCGGCCATCCGATCATTTGACAGGGAAAATTAAATAATTTTCAAAAACGGACGTGCTGCCATACTTCCCAGAACGGACTTTAATAAAAATTGGCCGAATTTGCCCCCATCTCTCCTATTGTTATGTCAGTCTTAATCTCATAAGAGTTTATGTTTTATTGTTATCCCTCGAATAGCCGACTTTAAATAGATTTTTCTTGTCTCATTCTGAAAGCAGTATTATCTCATTCTAAATCAGTAAATATCAAAGGTCAACAAAAGCTTCGCTCTTTTAAGGTTTTGCCTTTTCATATTAACCCACAGATGATGTACAGTGCACTGTCATTGTGTTACTGTGGCATTGCAGCTATGAACAACGGTTAAATAAGTGGAAACATTTCAGTTGTAACCTTTTAATTTTTAAGATACTTTAACCTTTCAAGTCATAACGTTCTAATTGCATGTATTCGTATGTGCAATTTGTTAGTAGAGCGATCCTCTAGTAACCTAAATATACAAAAAGAATACTTGCATTGTAGGGGACAGCAAACGTGATAATTGTTCAATGCACAAAAACATAAAAAAACAACAAATATAAGCTCTTCAATAACCCTGCTAAGACGACGGAAACAACTGAAATAATATTCTAAAACAAATAGTTTGCACTTTTGAAAAGACGCCTGTTAGTACAAGAATTATATATTGATACATGTTGCTGGCAGTGCTGATTCGTTAAAATATATAACAGAATTTTTTACAATGTTACCAAAGATTGGAGTCTTTGCAGAATTTGCACCCTTCTTTATTAATTTAGAAATAGCAGTTTGATTTGAATTATATTTGCTCATACAAGCTAGCTATATAGAACGCCAACTATATTGAACGGTTATTATACTTCACAGAAATGTGTGTCCCTACTGAAACCCTCAGTCGATTGGTAACCTGCTGAAGAAGGCGTCAACAATGTGTACTGGAGCTTAGAATGAGGCTACAACCGATCGTTCAGGAGGTTAGCCATGTTTAATCGGACGGGACGTGGAGGATGTGATCAGTTCTCTACAGAATGAGGAGCTAACAGTAACGAGATGGACGCCATCAACAGAGACATGCGTGTGTGATTTGATACATGGACGTATATCGAGTAGGCATAACTTTACATAATTGATAGATCAAACATCGTTTACGCTTCCTGATATATGCATTTCACGACCTGATTATTTGTGACAAGCCAATTCTTTTTAAATGGATATCAATTGAAGATATCATTTTCTACAAGTTATCCTCTGCGTTTTGATTAATTTTGTGGCATTTGTGTTATTTTTATTTCGTATTTATAGAAAAAAAATGGTCTTGTTTTATCACTCGTAAACACAATATTCCAAGCTTCACAATTAATATAATTTCAGCTGACGATAATCGTGAACATGACCAGGAAGCACCAACTACTTTTTACCAGGAAACTTTCATCATTTACTATAAAATGTTAGTTAACTACCTGGTGTGGTATCAGGAAATAGATTTTTCAGAAATCATGTGTTATAAACACTTTACCGAACTGAGATATTGGCCTGTCGGGGAAATATAGAAAAGGTTAGAGGTATGGTGCTAAACATAGTTTAATTTGCATAGAAAAAAACATTATTGCAATGTCGGACATTTAGTTCTATATACCAATAGAAAGGAATTTAGCGTTCTTTTCGTTGGATAAAAATATGAATACTCTTTCAGCATTTAATCAAGTTTTGGGATAATCACTAACCCAATATACTTATCTTATCTGCACAATACATTGTGGACTCTGCATTGTAGTACTTTACTCTGTAACGCCAGTATGATGTCAATCTTAATGATGCTATTTAATATACTGCATTTCGGTTTTTCTTTAATTTTAAAGGAGTGAGAAATATCAAGTGCTATTCCAAAATTTAACAAATTTATAAGATTGTAAATTTCTAAGAAGGAATGCCGACTTGACTGAAATTTATGCTCGCATCCGTTTACTTTAAATATAGATGTACTATTTACTAGAAGGTATAAAGCGCATACCGGTAATGTGGGAGTCGAAGACAAATTCGTAAGCCTTTCGGTGATTTAGCACATGTCTTTAGAATAAACTCATTACGTTGTTTTCATGTGATAATTACTGAATAATACATTGATTTTTTATGAAATGTTAAAAACTGATATGATACCATGAATATATATTTAAAGCATGCAATGTCACAACAAAACGAAATGCAACTTCCTCTCGAAGACATGACTAGAAATGAACCGCGGTAATATTAGGTTTGGATGTTATAAAATCAGCTACTAATCGGTTGATCTGCAGATGATGCAAACATTGGAGTCCAACTATAAAACAAAGTAGCATTCTTGACGTTCATATAAATGAGTTATTAGCACACCAACATACCCTGTCTCCTGCATACACTAAACACATGGAGGCACGTCCTTAAATGATCTTAGCTGTTAATGAGACGTTAAACAAATTATAACCAAACCGAATCAACATAGGCTATATCTATTGGGTATTCAACTTAAAAAAATAACGAAGCTTTGATAATTTATAGATATTTAAATTATATATTGTTTTTAACTCGACCCATTAGTCAGTATATAGAACAACGCCAAAAGGTCAAAGCTCAACATGGGCTGTAACGATTTTTTAGGTTTAAATGATTCTTCTTAAAAAGAAAATTGTATAGGGCCACACGCAGAGGTCAAAGTTCAACATAGGCTATATGACAGCCATGTAAGCTTCAGAAATCTTGATTAAAAGTAGCAGGTGACAGCCATGTCAGCTTAAAAAATCTTGATTAAAAGTACCTTTGATATTTCATTCATTAGCTTACTTCGCAAATCAAAAAAGTTTAAATAATGAAAGTTAGCATTACTAATCCTCAGAAATGCATGTTTCTTTTTCAGGTTTAGAGATATTGTTGATTTTTACACGATTTTGTCATGAAGCTGACGAAGCTTGACAAATATACCATGTGCCTGGTTGTTTATTAACTTAACGAATCGCTAATGTTTTATAATGTGATTTTTAAGAACTTTGAACAGAATTTAAAACATATACTTGTTTGACAAAAAATAACCTTTAAAATCTTCCTCTCGCATTTCTAATAGTTTTTAGTTTTAATAAAAAAACAATTGGGGAAAAAAACAAAACACAGGTTTGAAAGTTGTTATGAAGCCGATCAGACATTGGCCCTGATGAAAACGTTACAAACTTGAACATCGAAAACAATTCCTATAGTTCTTTCAACGAATCTACTGACAAGCTTCCTTGTCGGTAAGTCTCATCTTTTTTAAATGAAATTAATTTATTCACGCTCATTGTGTAACGATGATATTTAAACGATGTAACTCTAATAAATCATTTCACAGTGTGTATCAAATATCAACAAGTGGATTTCTGTTTTGTCGTTATGCATAGATTTGAAAGATCACGTTTTGCCTTTTGCAAACTAAGGTTCAGATAATATTACGCCATAAAATGAATTGAAAAAAAGGTGCTGACGCGTTGCTGTTTTATTTGATATAACGACAGTATAGTGTGTTTTGCAAGCAGTATCACCTAGGTTTCGGGGTTTCTATGTTGATTGTATGTATTACTGAGATGGAAAACAGACAGGGGGACCTAGAAAATATGCCACAGTTGGCAGAAGCAAGTAAACTGAAATGGTCATCGCGAAAGGAGTTTATCATCTCTCTCCTTGGTTACTCGTTAGGTCTAACAGACATATGGAGGGTACCGTACCTCACCTACAGGAACGGAGGTGGTAAGTATAATTGTCCAATCTGTATAGCTCTTTAATCAAACAAAATCATATGATACTTTCAGTTGTCCTTGTTTGGAGGATCAAACGAGATATTTATCATGGCGGGGCATTGTCCGCAAGAGTTTAACTATTATTTCACATGTAACAATACGTTTACTGAAAAAAAAAGACGTAAACAAAATAGAACACTTTTCAATAAAAGATATTCCTACGTTTATTAGCTCACCTTGGCCAAAGGGCCAAATAAGCTAAGACATGGCGCTGCGTCCGTCCGTCATCCGGCGTCTGGATTTTACTTAAAATAACTTCTTCTTAATAAACGTAAAACCTTGGGTGAGGATATTTTGCCCGTAGCAAGCTGGAATGAAGGGCTACCAAGTCTGTTAAAATAAATGACCTTCACACACATTGAAGGTCAAAGGGGTCAATTGTGTCAAAAACTTTTTTCTGAACAACTTCTGAATAACCAAAATGCCCAGGGTAATTATATATGGCTAAGAGCATTATAGGATGAAGGGCTACCAAGTTTCTTCAAATGAATGACCTTCACTCATATTCATGGTAACATTGGTCAAATATATTTAAAACTTTTAAACGACTTCTTCTGAATAACCAAATCCCAGGTTGATGATATTTGGCCAGTAGCATGCAAGAATGACGGGCTAGCTAGTTTGTTCAAATAAATGACCAAACTCATATTCAAAGTCAAAGGGGTCAATTATCTTGAACAAACTTTTAAACAACATCGTCTGAAAAACTAAAAGACACATGATGATAATACGTTGCCAGTGACATGCTGGGATTAAGGGCTACTAAGTTTGTTCAAATGGATGACCTATTCAAGCTCGCGGGGTCAAATATATTTGAAACCTTTAAACGACATCTTCTTAATAACCATGAGCCCAGAGTATGTTGTCCCTACAGGTAGGGCGTAAGAATTGTACCTGCTGCCCCCATTGCATGATCGTAAAAGGTGACTAAATTTTGGATCGTATCTTTTCTCTTCTTTCTAAACAACTTTCTTCTTCCTCATGTCTCCTTTGACAATGCCTCACTTTTGGCCTTTAGTTGAACGTTTTCCCTTGTGATATGGTTTGGTTTAGTATCGTTAAACGTCCTATCAACAGCTATGGTCATTAAAGGACGGCCTCCCCTGTGTGCAAGATGCATGCGTGTAGTGTATGGGTGTGTATTTTGGGACGCTGCGATAAGTTTGTGTTTTTCTCCTTGTGATAACACAGAACTGATGCCGACTTTATAGTACTACCTCAATGAAACATACTGCCGAAGCCACCCAGAAGGCCATCCCACCCGGTCACATTGCACTGCCAAACTCCTAAACTGCTGAGCCTTAAGCAGGAGTAGAAACTACCATTTGTACAGACTCTGGTTTGATATTTTGTCGGAAGCATGCTTGGATGAAGGGCTACCTAGTTTGTTCAAATGAATGGCATTGAGTTAAATTTAAGGTCACAGGGGTTAAATATGTAAACAAATATTTAAACAACACTTCTCCTGATCTGTCCCCAGGCTTGGACAGACCAAAGTCCTCAAAAATTGTAGTCGTTATTCCCTGATTAACATCCAGCATTAAGGGGAATGGCAACAACTGGTTCACCTGTTGTCAATATAATGTGACCAGGTGGAATGCTGTGCTGGATGCCTTCGGCATGGTATTGCAGTGAGATAGCACTTTAAAGTTGGCATCAGATCCGCACTTTTACAAGGAGGCAAACACAGCAACAAACCCTATTTCCTGCATACACACGCGCAAGTACGCATACACAGCATACATTGAGGAACGTCCTTAGGTGACCTTAGCTGTTGTAGGACGTTAAACAAAACTAAACCAATCCTTTATAACTACGAGGCCCAGAATATTGATATTTGGCCGTTATATTGCTTTGATGAAGGGCTACGAATTTGTTAAAAATGATCGATCTTGACTAATAATCAATGTCACAGGTGTCAAATATGGATAAAAATCTGAAAACGACTCTTCTGAATAACCACGAGGTCCAGAAAGGTGATATTTAACTATAGGCATGCTTAGATGAAGGGCTACCAAGTTTGTTAAAAGGATCGACCTTTACTAATAATCAAGGTCACATGGGTCAAATATGTTTAAAATCTTTATACGGCGTCTTCTGAAAGCCATCGGATCCAGAATGGTGATATTTGGCTATTAGTAGGCTTACAAAAAGGACTACCAAGTTTTTAAAAGTGAATTACCTCGACTTTCATTCAATATCACATGGGTCAAATATGTCATAAACCTTTAAACGACTTCTGAATAACAATGAAACCCAGAATGTTGATATATTTTGCCATTCGCATGCTGGGGATGAAGGACTGCAAAGTTTGTTAAAATGAATTAACTTGACTAACAACTACTTTTGAATAACCATGAGGCCCGGAATGTTGATATCTTGCCAGTAGCATGCTAGGATTAGGGGTTCCTAGTTTGTAAAAATGAATAACCTCGGATAATATATTGAAGGTCACAGGGGTCAAATATCTTTCACATCTTTCAACAACTTCTGAATAACCATGAGGTCCAGAATGGTGATATTTTGCCATCAACATGCTTACATAAAGGGCTACTTAGATTGTTAAAATGAATTATCTTGACTTGCATTCGAGGTAACAGGGGTCAAATATATTTAAACTCTTTAAACAACTTCATCTAAATACCAAAATATTCGAAATAATTATATTTGATCAGAAACATGCTAGGATAAAGCGCTACCAAGTATGTTAGAATGAATGACGTTGACCTTTTATCAAGGTCACTGGGATCAAACGTGTTTAAAATCTTCAAATGACTTCTGAATAACCATAAAGTCTAGAATGTTGATAAATCGCTAGTAGCATGCTAGGATAAAGGGCTATCAAACTTTTGTATTTCAATGACCTTGACACGTATTTAGTCAAATATGTATAAACCTTAAAGTGACCTTATCTCAATAAGCGAGGCGTATAATGTTTGTTCAACGTAATAACCTTGTTCGACTTTCAAGGCCATAAGAGTCAAATGTTTTAAAATCTTTTAACAGGTTCTTTTGAATGACTTTTAGCCATCAATAATGATATTTTGCCTGCAGCTTTATTTAAGATCACCTTAAAGGTTACAGGTGTGAAATTTATACCAGGTGAGCGATGCAGGCCCATTGATATAAGTACTATCCGTCCATCGTTGTTGCTATTTATGTTTTACACTGCAATTGATAGTAAAATATCAATCCGGTTTCATATCCGTTGGGTGGGTAAAGGCAGCTCGTTATTTTCATTAATTTCATCATGGCCGGGTATCCACGATACACGGCATAATCTGGATATATCATGAAGTTTAATTACCACCTTTTGAATCAGAAAATTGTTGAAATCAATATGTTATAGCTTTTGAAGAACCGAAAATGAATCGGAGCATACACAGCAATATTCCATCGAATTGTCTTGTTTTAATTAATTTCTAACGCTGCAGTAAAAATTGAAACACAATGCAACGCATGGAACAAGATTTTGGTGCATTCACTTGTTACCTCTCGGTTGGGTTATGGTAACGCCCTACTCTGTGGTATATCTGACAAATTAACTAGTCGTCTGCAGAGGGTCCAGAACACTGCAGCACGGCTAGTTACTCGTACTCGAAAGAGAGAGCACATCACACATGTGCTCTATTTGTTTCACTGGTTATCTGTACGATACAGGTCGCAGTACAAAATTCTTGTGTACATATACAAGGCACTGAATGGAACAGCTCCCCAGTACATACAGGAGCTTGTTACGCTGTATCAGCCGCCACGATCACTGCGGTTGGAGTCAGAATCTGTGTTGTGTGTCCCAAAATCTCGTACTGTGACCTACGGAAACAGATGCTTTGGAAGGATTTCGGCTACGTTGTGGAATAGTTTACCATCTGCAATTAGAAAGTCCAATACTCTGGCAAAGTTCAAGAGGGACATCAAAACTCGCCTCTCCACGTCTGCATTTGATAATCTTTGCAAAGACGTTATGTAATACCACCCTTTTATTTGTTCAATTATGTGCACATTGCTTGCTTAAATGTATAATAGTGATTACAAGCCTTTGTTGTTTTTTTCGTTTTCACAATTATAACCATTACTATTATCCAAATGTTGTAAAGCGCTTTGGAGTAATTTTACAAATTATATATGGCGCTTATAAATGTATAGTATTATTATTATTATTGTTAATGAGGAAGTCGACCAGAAACAGGTAGGGGACCGGGAAAAGTATACAACTGCTGTCACTCACTGCATGCATTATAAGGTGCGACTAATGTGGTAACCCACTGTAGAATTGGGTATTTGCTTTAGTGTCTTCCATTCGGGGACACCAAAACGACCCCAATAAATCTGCTTCACCTATTGCAATATTTGGAATCATGATATTACTTTCTACTTCTTACTTCATTTTATTTCCTAGCGCCTTGCTTGTCAACACCTTACGTTCGCCCAGTTAAGGAAGGCAATTGGTTCTGTCCCCAGGCCGGTACATACCAAAGTCGTTATTACCTGCCTAGGGGGTGGCAACAACTGGTTCATCCATTGTCAGTATAATGTGACCGGGCGGTATGTCTATGCTGGGTGCCATGGGCATGGAACAAACATTTAGTGTGTTCGTTTCAACATTACAGCCAACATTGAGGTATTATTACCAAGCTTGTCGCTAGGACATATAATGTAGTTAGAAGTAAAAAGTAAGATAAAGATCCCAATGTTGCGATGGGTGCAGCATATTTATTTTGGTCGCTTTTGTGTCTCCAAGTAGGGGCGCAAAAGTCAATTCCCGATTCTGCAGGGGGTTAACACATTTCGCCTCTTAGATACATGCGATGGGTAACAGCAGGTGTATTCCTTTCTCGATACCCGACTTACAGGGGTGTCTATTGCAAAGTGGTACACGAACAAACACAACCACCAAATTGCCTTAAAGGGACATCACGTGAAGAGCCATATTTTTTTAATGAATGTATG